GCTGAGGCGAGCTCGGGGCCGGCGCGAGCGCGCGCGCGCGGCCCGCTGTCACCACAGCCGCGGTCGTTCGTGGCGCTCGGGTTCCAGCGAGGACGGTCTCCGCCTGCTCCCCCGCCCGCCTTCGTCCTCAGTCCTCGGTCCTCCTCACTCCTCCGTCCGCTTCAGTCCGCGGTCCTCCTCAGTCCTCCGTCCGCTTCAGTCTCGGTCCTCCTCAGCCCTCGGTCCTGAGCCCTCCTCCCTCCTCAGCCCTTGGTCCTCCTCAGTCCTCTGCCCGCCTCAGTCCCCCGTCCTCCTCTCCCCTCCGTCCTCCTCCCTCCTCAGTCCTCGGTCCTCCTCAGTCCTTCGCCTGCTTCAGTCTCCAGCCTTCCTCCGTCCTCGGTTCACCTCAGTCCTCGGTCCTCCCCGGACGTCGATCCTCCTCAGTCCTCACCGCCCTCCTCTCCTCGCTCCTCAAAAGCACGCCACCCCCGCCCGGTCCCCACCCCCCGACGCCCCACCCGCGGGAACGAGGCCTGGGGAACTCAGGGGAGTGGCTGTGGGACGCGTCGCGGCTCGGCCAGCCCCTCTCCCAAGACATGGTCTGAACCCCATTGTAAGAGCTGCGCCCCGAAGAGGAGGAAGAGGAGAGCGAGGTGTTTCCTGCGCGGGGTGGGGTGGGGGGGGGCTGCAGGGATTCTCGGAAGCTCGTGCATTATTTAGGGTGGGGCGGGGAGGGCCCTGGCTTTTGAGGAGTGGGGTGGGGGGTGGGCGGGGAGGACCCGTGGAGGGAAAAGACCCCGCTTTTGGTGGGGGAGTCGGTGAGAGACTATGGGGAAGGACCAGGAGCTGCTGGAAGCTGCTCGCACTGGAAATGTGGCTCTGGTGGAGAAACTCCTGTCTGGCAGGAAAGGAGGGATCCTGGGCGGTGGATCCGGCCCCCTGCCCCTGTCTAATCTGCTAAGGTAAGGACGGGCACTGGCATCCGCTCCCGGGGTGGCACACCTCGTTGTGCATTGTGATGGATACGTCCTCCTCCTTCCCCTCACCTAGTGGCAGCCAGCGATTCATTCTTAAATTAGGAAAACAGACTGTGTAGGGAGAGGAGGAACGAGCCTCCAGATTAGATGAATGCCTTCGATTTTTTTTAAATCTTTTTTTTTTTTTTAGTAATGTTAAAAAAGCCTTCTATCAATGCATCAGTCAGCTACTTTTCTCTGAGCAGTGGTGCAGAACTTGGACATGTACTAGTGTTGCTTGAAGAGAACCAGCATTCCACCTGCTCTCCATCACTGTTGATATATTTGCAGTTTCCAGGACTGCCTCCCCCACTTTCCCCTTTTTTGGCCTATTTAAATGAAATTGATAGAGGAGCTATTGCGTGCATGCAATTATCCTGCTAAAAGCCACAGCCTTGTATTCTCTTGCAGAAGGCATTTGCTGGGTTGTGGGGTTATGATCCTACAAAATGAAGAAAGAGAACCTTCTGAGGAGGTGTCAGAGAGGAAGAGTGTGTAAAACTTGATGAGGCAGGTTAGACAGCCCCAGCAGTACTTTCAGTCACCTGGATGTAGCTGAGAGAAACTCAGGATGCAGGATGCCAGGTGGGGATTGGCATGGTGTGCATGGAATCTGGTAGAGGCCCTTTAATGTGAAACATGTTGCAGGTGAGACGGATGTTGCTTGGAGAATCTAAGGTGACATTTAAGAAAAATGTCAAGGTCTTTATTCAGCAGGTAGCACCTCAGAAATAGCAGGGTTGATTTGCATAGTGGAGGAACTATTAACCTACAAGTTGAATTGGACAAATGAAATCAGTTGGGAGGGAGGAAGCTTGAAGAGTACTCACTAGATAAAATCCAGGGAAAGCTCTTTAGGTTTTTTTTTTTTTTCGTAGCTATTCAGTTCGTCAATATTTTAGTATTTTTGAAGGAATCAATATCTCCATATCTTCTTAAAACACATTTTAAGAAATCTAATTATTTAAAAGCCTGTGGTTATCTTTAAGTAAAAATATTCTGTGTTACTCTTGTTAAGTGTTTAATATGAACTTTTGAGTGATACTGTGTTTTTCACACAAGGTCTCATAGGTTGTAGTGGTCCACCAGCGGTGTGAATACTTTACAATACTAAAAGGGAACTAAATCTAGTTGGAAAATAGTTGATGGGATTTAAGATAGCTCCATATTTGTTATCCATACTTGCTGACAGTGGCATTTTATTGAAATGACAATTCACTTTAGAATAATGTTTTTTTATGGGACATTTTTCCAACATATCTCAGAAGTGCTGGCATTTGTGTGTACTCTTGTTAAATAATTTTTATTTTTAAATACAATGAGGGCATATACATTTCAGACTATGGTTCTGCCGGTTACTCTTAGTCACAGGTCATTTGTAGAAAAGGAGTTTATCTAGTTATAATTTGGTGAAATGTATTTTCCAGCGGATCCATTAGTTATAAAAATGATTGTGGTTACATGCTGCAAGTTTGTAAAAAATTGATTCCTTTGTAAAAACATTAAAGATTTCTTAGAGCCCAGTGAGAAATTCAGTTAATTTCATTGAGACAAATGGTATTCTTAAAAAGACTGATAGAACTCAAAGGCAAACTTCTTTTATATACTTCTTTTCCAGCTGTGATATATATGTATGTGTGTGTGTGTGTGTATATATATATATATATGTGTGTGTGTGTGTGTGTGTATACACACATATATACTTAAAAAAGGGTAGATGTCAAACCTCAGGAATAACACACAAGTTAAAGTTAATAAATATTAAAGTACGGATATTGTGACCTACATTGTACATCTCAACATAAGAGTTTTTCTTTTTCTTTTTTTTTGTGCTGGTTAAAAGCTGCTGTAGTAGCTCTAAAACAAGAATGCACATAGAAAACAAACCCAAAGACATATGACTTAGAATAGTTTGGACTAAGTTGTGAAAATCACAAAACCAGTAACCTTCAAACCTGTATTTATCTCTACTGAATAAACTACTAAAACTGTCTTTGAAGAAAACAAGAGTTGAAATTATGGTTTTTGGCCCTTTGCACAAAATGAAATTTCTAAGGAGGCACATTTTATTTCGCTATCACTTTGTTTCATGAATGATTGTCATCAGAAGTTTATTTATGAGATAGGGAAAATGTGTCCCTCCCATCAAACATAATAACACTGAAATATTTTAGTATTTTGGAGTGAATTCTTGAATAGATCTGGCACTTTTCTCTACTTGTTTATTACTTACGTGGTGTAGTCCTAGTGTCAGTCTTCCTAAATACTTATGTGTCACATTTCATTCAGTAGTTAAATCAACCTTAAGAGGTCGATCCTCTTTTCACAGATGAAGGACTAAAGAAATGACTAAAGATTAATAACATGTCCAAACTCATGCCAAGGATTTGAAATTCAATGATTCCAATTTACTTTATTAGATCTTTAAATCTTTTTACAAAGTAGATAGTTAATTTAGGTAGTCCAACCTAAACGTTTTTTTCTTGAAAATAATAATTACATTAAAAGACTCGAACTTTTCTTGAATAAAGTTATCTCTTGACTGCTCTTGGAGGGTTCACTAGATAAGAACTTGTCAGAAGATGCTTTTAATTGTTTATTGTCTACTATGTGACCAATGGCTATATAATTGTGGAATTTAGTATGCCTAAGTGACAGTTTTTAATAAGAAATTAGAACACTTTAAGTATAAAAAACTTTACTGTCCTTTTTATAGAGTGGAAGTAATAATAGTACATACCAAATAGAGTTGTTATAAGTATTAAAGTTTAAAGTAAAATAGATAAGCATGGAGCATATTCAACATCTCATGTAGCTCAAAAGCACATGAAACTATCTGACTATAATTTTTTATGGTAATTCAACTTTGTTGTTGATTATCATATCATTGTCCAGTGGGTGTAGGTGGGAGTCAACCAGATCTGTTCAGATGCCTGTATGCAGGCATGCACCTGCACACATGGATATATGCAGACATTCACACTTAGGGATGGACCGGGAATGACATGTAGTCAGGTCACCCCTTTACCTGGAGTTAGAGGCTAGTACCAGAACCTCCTCTGCAGCCATTCCTGATTCCAAGTCTGCCTGTGACTCAGTGGCTCAGAATCGCTTGGTAGTCCTTTATAGCTGCTGGGTATTGGGCTCTGCTCCCAGAGTATCTAACCCAATTGGTCCTGGTAGGGCCAGGGTGACACTTAAGGCTCTGATTACTAAAGATTTGCTTTATGTTAAGTTGAGAGTGATTCCTTAGTAAGTTTTCCATTAAGAATCAGTCTTCAAATAGGGGCCTTTAATCCATTTTCTTACCTGGTACAAGAATTTCTCAGTAGCCCTTTCCAGTGAGTTATTCCAAACTCTTATTAAGTCTTCCAATGAGCCAAATCATTCCATTTTTGATAGTTCTGATTATTAAAAACATTGTCTTTATCAAGCTGAAATGCACCTTTTGGCGTTTCCAGAAGTTGGTACTAGATTGACTTTGGGTCGATACAAAGTCCTCTAATTTACCTGCCAGGACTATTCTTCAAGTGCAGGCATTCCAACTATTGAAATATGATGCAATAAAATTATTACCACCTTATTATTGATTTAGGATCTTGATATAGGTCAAGATTTTTGAGCCACAAAATAGTGTTGGTTGTCACTGAGCATGTAGTCAATAACAGCTTCCAGGCATTTCTTTTTTCTTTTTTTTTGGGGGGGGGGTCCGGTCGTGGGGCCTGAACTCTGGGCCTGGGCGCTGTCCTTTAGCTCTTCAGCTCAAGGCTAGCACTCTACTACTTGAGCCACAGCGCCACTTCCGGCTTTTTTTCCCCCTGCTTATGTGGTGCTGAGGAATCGAACCCAGGACCTCAGGCATGCAAGGCAAGCGCTCTACCACTGAGCCACCTTCCCAGCCCCCAGGCATTTTTTTTCTTAATGACCTGTGAAGCTGTAATTCCCCCATCTGATACTTGTAAAAGTGTTAAACTTAAATCATTCCTATTATTTTATTTTGGTCTATATTTGTAATCTATGTAGATCTTCTCGACTCTTGAGTCTTTTTTTTAGCATATTAACCTCTTTTCATCATCTGTAGATTTAATAAGCATGCTTTATAACTGAAATCTGATACACCATAATATATCCCTAAAGAACCTCTCTTCAGCTTAGTATAAATTTAAAAGTGGCAATCTTTATGCTTGATATTTGTCTCTATTGAAGCCACTTAATAGACCTATCAGTCAATTGCTTTTGCATTATACCCATGAGAATTAGTGAGGTATTTTATTCATTGTCTTAAATCATGCCATATTCTGTTTACATTTCTTTGATCTAGCCTTTCACTTGTAAGTCTGTAAATTCTATCCAAATCAAGCTGCCTTTCTTGCAGCTTGTTTCTGAAACCTGAGCCGCTGGTAATTCTAAATTTTGATGGAAACCCTTTCAATATCCTTTTGCATCTAATTCTTCTGGGTTTGGATCTTTAACACTCATTTTAAACAGCTAAATGTCTTTTTATGATTGCTCTGTTTGGATCTTCAGTAATCTCCTTATTTGTTTATCCTTAGTTAGAAAATGATTCCTGATAGGGAAGACAGAAATAAAATAGAAATTCTGAAGTGTAAGATTCCTTACATTATTGATATGGAAAGTACTTTTATGATCTGAAACCACAGTTTTGTACTGTCAAAGCTTAAGATTACATTAGCAAACTATTCCATGTCTCTCTCTCCCTCTCTTTTTTACCTGAGAAGTATATTTCTCTTCTGTGTTTTTTTTTCACCACCTCATCATTCCTTTTCATCCTTAAAGAAATTTGAACTCTAGTTGGGTGTGCTCATGCCTGTAATCTTAGATACTTAAGAGTCTGAGATCTGAGGATTGAAATTCGAAGCCAGCCTGGGCAGGATACTCTTACTGCCAATACCACCAAAAAGCCAGAAGTGGAACTGTAGCTCAAG